TCCAGGAGAAGGTCTTTGTGGTTTTCATCCATGCCTAGAATTATTATCCTGCCAGGTCTCCTTCACCTGGTTGGACCCCTTACCAGTGCTGTCTCTAACCCCACTATGATGGTGCCTGTAACCCATCCATGATGGTGCCTCCAACTCTAGCATGATGGTGCCTAACCCCACCATAATGATGCCCTCTACTCTACCATGATGGTGCCTGTAACCCCGACCATGATGGTGCCTGTACCCATGATGGTGTCTAACCCCACCATGATGGTGCCTGTAACCAAGACGGGTTCTCCAACCCCACCATGATGGTGTCTCTAACCCCACCATGTAGTAGTCATAATGTTATGGCTAATGAGTGCTGGTTACAGTAGATGGTTTATGGGTATTAGAGGATAGTGACGATAGTTAACTTTAGGTCACCAGAAACTGCTGCTGCTGAGCTCAGCTGGACCACAGATCTAACGTTCTGCCAGCTGCTTCTGGTCCTAGATCAGGTTCTGCTGCCAGCAGAGCAGAAAGGTTCTCTAAGGTCCATGATGGACACATGCTAACCTTTAGCCTAACCCAGTAGCTGACCTGCAGCCGATGGTGGAACCATTTGGGACCCAAGGTTCTGTAAACCCTCCAAGCTTAAAGAATGGGAGACTAACAGTGAGTTGATAAAACTGAGGATCATCAGAATATAAAGTCAATGCAGGAAAAAGGATAAATAACAAAGATCTTAACTCTAACTAAAGGCTTATTTATTATTTTGGTTTCCAAAACTGGAACAAGATGTGAGGCTTTTTTCCCAGAAACAACTGGTTCCTGAAGGACACAGCTGATGCTGCTGGTGTCTGTAGGATCTACTAACGAGTTTGTGTTTGTGTGCAGAACGAGGACAGTGAGAAGATTGGACCTCTGGCTTATTTCCCTGATAACGGAACCTTCAACCTGATGTACTACCCGTACTACGGGAAGAAGGCCCAGGTAAAAACACACCATGTCCTCAGAGAACTCAGATCTGACAACAGAACCGGATCTGAGTCCTACTCCAGTAAACCAGTTAGAACAGAACAGGGCAGGGTGGTCAGTCGCAGCCAGGACCAACCCAGGGAACCTCACCATGTGACGGTTTGACAAGGTTAATTATTTTAGTTTTAGTTTTTTTTTTAACTGGGTGTTTGTCAGTGTTTTAGCGGTGCCAGTCAGATATCCCTCCTGACAAGTAGGATATATATATATATATTTTAAACCATTAAAACAAGGACCATACACTGCTGTGTGTAGACCCTTTCAAATAATAAACAAAAACTTTTCACAAGACAAAAACAATTAGGCTTAACAGTTCTTGTTTCAAAAAGAAAAAAATTAATAAATATATAGCCATCAAAAAATAATGACAAAATTCATCCCCACAAAATATAAATGTCCATTATTATCCAAGGTAGAATGGCTCCAATATAAATTGCCCCACAGCAAGAGCTGTGAATAAACAAGAGAAAATAAAAAACATAAGAGTCTATACACAACAAAAGTCCTACAATTGCATAAAAACAGCACAAACAAACAGACAAACATAGAATGGACTTACAGGTCAGATGAGAAACAGATCTTGCTCAGAGCCAGGAGCTGGATCCGGTTTTCTGTTGTTGGTTTCACTAGATGAATATATTTAAAGTTTATTTAATTTTGTGTAACGGGGCAAAATGATTAATTTATATTTTCAGTAAGTATAGCACTTAGGGAGGATGTTTAACTTTGACGTCACCGGCTTCCGGGTCACTGTGATGACACGTCGGCACGGCAGGAGCACAGAATGGAATTTATTTGTTGGGTTTTCTCCTTAATGATCGGTGGGATCCAGAACGGAGGCAAAATACTGAAAGCACGAGGGATTAAACGGCCTCGGACTGACTTTGTTACTGGTCGACAGAATGGAATATGCAGACATAGTAGCAGCAGCTGTTTCTGTTACGCTGTCTGCTGAGAAACTGACATTTTCAAACTGGAACTAGGAGTCAGATTGAACAGCGGACCAATCAGGTAAGGGCATGTGTTCAATGGGCGTAAAGAAGGCGTGTCTTGAGCTGTGAAGAAGCAGGAGG